TATAAACCTTATGAAAAAGTTAATATTTTTACATTTTAATTGAGAATAAAGTATCACAGGGCTATTAAGTAAGATGTCCCCTGTCACAGCTGAGAAGGAGCTGAGTGGGATTCAGCCCCAGGCAGTCTGATGTCAAGCTGGACATTTATTCACTATAAATAACTAATAGTGACCGCAGGATTAACAAATTCCCATTATGCCCTAATAAAAACATACCTAAAAAATAAAGGAAAATATATTTCTTGAAAATGTAAGAACTCTCAATGGTCTTGAGCATGTTTTCTAGTTTTCTGTTGTTGTGTGACAAAATAACAAAAACCTAAAAGCTTAAAAAAACACAAACTTATTATCTGACAATTTCCATGAGTGAGGAGTCTAGGAACAGCTTCTCTGGATCTCCTGCTTAGGACCTTACCAGGCTGAAATGAAAGAGTCCAAACTGTTCTGTGATTCTCATCTTAAGTCATCTTATGGTCATCTTCTGAACAGCACAGTTTTTCAGTAGAAGTCATCTCTTCTAGCTGTATGATTGCTGTCCTTGTTTTCTTGCTAGGTGTCAGTCAGTTACAATATCCAGAGGCCACTGACAATGCTTTGCCACATGGCTTCCCAACCTGGATATTGTTTTCCTTCAGGCCAGCACATGAATATCTGTCAGATATCCTTCTTTACATTAAGCTGGGAAAGTACTCTATTTTTATTTTATAATTTTTTTTTCATTTTACTTTTTGACCCTAGTTTTAAATGACTCTCCTGATTAGGTTAGGCCTACCCTTTTGCCAAATAATAGTAGTGTGATCTCCTATTCACAAGTTCAATCCACACTAAGGGAGGTAGATCATACAGGGCATTTATCTAACGTGTGGGAATTCTGCAGACCTCTGCATGTTTGCATTTTTCCTCTAAAGTGAAAGTGGTGTTGTTTCTTAAACCCACATCCAAAAAAGTTGTTCTACTGTTACCATGTACACTGTTATTTGAAAAACCTTCACTGTTTACTAAAGTTCAAAGAAAAAGAAAACAAATGAGCTGGTCAAGACTATAGCGTCAGCAGCTCTATCACTCTTTCTTCATGACCTAACGATCTAATGTTTATAGAAGTGTTGATGACAGAACAATATCAAGGAGGACACATTGATAAGAATATGACAGCAGCTAACCCTGAGATCTGGGTTTTTTAAAAAAATGCTCATCTTTAACAATCCTAAGTATTCTAATTTCAAAAAAAACAGAACAAACAAGTAAAAAATATAAAAATAATACTTGGTCCTTCAGGGGAAAATTGAATATGTTGACTGGGGACACCCAAGTCCATCATGTTCTCAGTGCTTTTCAATCTGTCTAACCATACATTTGGGTATGACCAGAAGTATTCCATCATTATGTGTCAATGTATATATGAAAGTCTTTACTCCTTCTCTGAAGGTACCAAGTGAGTTATATGAATAGGTTTATCACAGTCTCAGTACACCATCTCCTATCAGAGGACCACCCCTGTCATCAAACTCAAACTATAAGGGATAACTAATAACTGTATGAACAAAAATGTAAAATTATAAATATAAAAAATAAGATATACATGTTCTATTCTGTAAGTTGTCATTACTCAGAAATAGACAACTTTGACTTTCTGTTTTAGGAGTGGCCTAGACCATAAGTGGAAAAGGAAAATTCTCATAAGAAGTAGAATTTTGAATGGACATTTACTAAGTTTAAAATGAGTGGTGCCTGGAACAAGACACCATGTTGATTTCTGGGCATTGCGTAATGGTTTAGTTGGATAATTTGAAGAGAAAAGGGTTAAATTGTTGGTCACTAAACACAATATAGATAAATCTCACAAATATAATATTGAGCTAAAGAATCCAGGCATGTGAGCACATGTGCGTGCACACACACACACACACACACAGAACAAAACAAAAATAGCCAAATCACAGAAACAGCCCAAGGGCCCATAGAATGAGGAATGGATTACTCAGCCATAAAAGAATGAAATCTTGCAATTTGCAACAACATGGATGGAGCTAGAGAGTAGTATATTAAGATAAGTCAGAGAAGGTCATTTCTATATATCTCACTCACATGTGGAATTTAAGAAACAAAACAAATGAATAAATGAGCGGGCATGGAGAGAGGGAGGCAAACCAAGAAACAGACTTTTAACTATAAGGAACAAACTGATGGTTACCAGAGGGGAGGTGGGTAGAGGGATGGGTAAACTAGGTAAAGAGAATTAAGGCATGCACTTGCTGTGATGAGCACTGGGTGATGTATGGAAGTGTTGAATCACTACACTGTACACATGAAATTAATCTTATACTCTATGTTAACTAACTGGATTTTAAATAAAATCTTTAAAAAACGAAGTTAAAAAAAAGACATTAATTATAGAAAGTTCAAAACCAAACAAAATTAATCTATGGTAATAAAAATCAGAAGGGTCGGTATTCTTGTGAGTATTGAAACCAGAAAAAAAGTATATTGGGGCCTTCGGAAGTATGTGAAATATTTTATTTTATGATCTCAGTGCTGCTTGTACAGATGTGCCCAGTTTGTGAAAATTCATTGAGCTGTGCCCAGATGGTTTATGTACTTTTATGAATGTATGTTATTATCAAATAAAAAAACAAATTATTTCAGTAAATAATTAATCTCAAGAAATTTTTTGGAAGAGCCCTGTAGTAGAACCTCTAGGAGTAGGCCCAGAACATGAAAACACATTTGTTCCTACTGTAGAAAAATACTTTCATAATCAGGTGTACAGACTTTTTAAATATCAGCTATCTTCTTTCCAAAAGAGACCAAAATTTGTGGACTGAGCTTATGATTAAAATGTGTGTGGTGCCAAGAAGGAACTTTAAAAAGTAACTTTCCTCTTCATAAGGTGACCTAGCCATAGACACTTATGAATGTGCAGTTACCACCAAAAATAATTGTTTTATTTCTCAATATGTCTTCACATTTCAGGTGAACAGCAGCTACATGGTGGCCTCAAGTTTCTTACCTTAGAACGCTTTCATGGCTGGGGGTTGTGGTAAAGATTTCTTTTTTCTTTTATCAGACAAAAACTTATTGTAGATATGGATTTTATTTTCAGACTATAAGCATGCTTGCTCAGGAACCTCCAACCTTGGACTAACTAAATTCTTCAAAAATTATCATTCTTTTCCACAAGAACTATCTCCAGTTGAAATAAAATAAGCAATGTTTTGAAACTGATCATCCTACTACTCCAATAACATAAATAACTGGTTTTATTAAAAAAAATTAATGCAGATTCAGCTATAGTTCCAGGAGAGACAATACCTTATGAACTTAAGTTGGCTTTTCTGCATTATCATGTTTATAATCTAAATCCATGACAAATATATGTTGCTCTCTTTTCCTTAAGCAGAATGCTAAATCTATGAATAGATGAATCCAGAAAATAAAGTTAGAAGAAGGTTTTGGTACTTCTTACTCTTACCCATAATATCACATCTCGAAATCTTGTTTCTTGCACTGTAGGGTGATGGCCTATAGTGTTTTTTATATCTATATATCTATATATATAGATATATATAAATATATTATATACTATATATTATATAATTATATGTAAATTATACATATATATATAAAATATACATATACATAAATTATACATATACGTATAATTATATATAAATTATACATATTTGTTTATTTTTAATCCACCAAAATGATACTTCTACAAGCATATCTTCTAAATTTTCCTAGACAGGGTTACATATTTTACTAGAATGACTGACCTGATAATCAAAGAGAAATAGAGATTTTGCTACAGAAATATGGGTAGAATTGAAGTAGTACGCTGGAATGTTTCCACGTAATAATAGGCCTAGTAATAAATATTAAATAAGAAAATGTAATAGGATCCACAGAGACTCCAATTAACAAGGGATAGAAAACTTAGTTCTACTGACAAGGTAAAAAGCTAAATGTGACCTGAGAATATTCTCGCCAAAGATAAAAATATATGAAATAGAAATTAAAAAAAAAAAATCAGCGACAAGTTTACTTCCCATGATCATTTGCAGCATTGCTTACTCTTTTACGTATACTTCCTTTTTCTTGCTTTTGTCCACTATTAACCACAGAGTGTCTTGGTTGATTTGGTCCATAGATCAAAGAATACTGAGATGCTATAATGACAGAGCAACCCAAAAAACAAACATAACCCAGAGAACACAAGTGTCATCTTTGGAAGCATTAGCCAAAAATCACTTTTGGTTTTCTCCTACTGTAAATGGAATGAGATTATTTTTTAATTATGAGCACACTATGTAAAACAGGAACATTTTAAGAATCGTATATATAGAAAAAAGAGTGAGTAAGTACTTGCCTAAGACTTTGGACAGGTAAGGTATGTAAAAAAATTTCTGTTGTTTTTGACTTCTCATCACCCCTTCTTCTAGGAAGAGATCCCAATCTCTACGACAACAGGCAGAGGCAGTACACAATGCAAACTGGCTCAATCAAAATATCTCCTACCCCTGACACTCAGATAATATGCACTTCTGTGAATATTAATCTATAATACAGAGGCTGAAGATTTATTAAATCACATTATTTTAAGGCTTTACCTTAGTGAGACAGCCCGAACTCCTGCTGGCATTCCCAGTGTTGCCCTGAGCTATCATCTTTGCTAAGACCTGAATGTTAAGCTTTAGGTATTTCACTATCCTTTATATAAATCCTCTTTCCTTTGTTTATTTAAGTTAGCTGAATCTGAGTCTTTCTTTGGTTATTGTTAATCTCAAAAACCAAAAAGCCTAAGCGTTACTAAATTAGAGAAATATCTACAGCAATTTGACTTGAATATTTTAATCAAGACTCTTACCAGCAATTAGTTTGTCAAACATTTAAGAAGGCAAAAGAATTCTCAGATACACAGCACTCCTTGAAAGTTCTTTTCCTTTTCTGTTTCACAGGGAGATAAATCACAACTTGATGTCACTTTCAATTGTGTTCGCAGCCGCTGCCGCGCCGCCATCGCTCGCCAACGCCAGCGCCGCCTCTCGCTCGCGGAGCTCCAGCCGAAGGAGAAGGGGGGTAAGTAAGGAGGTTTCTGTACCATGGCTCGTACAAAGCCGACTGCCCGCAAATCGACCGGGGGTAAAGCTCCAAGGAAACAACTGGCTACAAAAGCCGCTCGCAAGAGTGCGCCCTCTACCGGAGGGGTGAAGAAACCTCACCGTTACAGGCCTGGTACTGTGGCACTCCGTGAAATTAGACGTTATCAGAAGTCCACTGAACTTCTGATCCGCAAACTTCCTTTCCAGCGTCCGGTGCGAGAAATTGCTCAGGACTTCAAAACAGACCTGCGCTTCCAGAGTGCGGCTATTGGTGCTTTGCAGGAGGCAAGCGAGGCCTATCTGGTGGGCCTCTTTGAAGACACCAACCTGTGTGCTATCCATGCCAAACGTGTCACAATTATGCCAAAAGACATCCAGCTAGCGCGCCGCATACGTGGAGAACGTGCTTAAGAATCCACTATGATGGAAAACATTTCATTCTTTAAAAAAAAAAAAAAATTCTCTTCTTCCTGTTATTGGTAGTTCTGAATGTTAGATATTTTTTTTCCATGGGGTCAGAAGGTACCTAAGTATATGATTGCAAGTGGAAAAATAGGGGACAGAAATCAGGTATTGGCAGTTTTTCCATTTTCATTTGTGTGTGAATTTTTAATATAAATGCGGGGACATATAAAGCATTAATGCAAGTCAAAATGTTTCAGTGAACACGTTTCAGCAGTTCAACTTTATAACAATTATAAATAAACCTGTTAAATTTTTCTGGACAATGCCAGCATTTGGATTTTTTTAAAACAAGTAAATTTCTTATTGACGGCAACTAAATGGTGTTTGTAGCATTTTTATCATACAGTAGATCCATCCATTCGCTATACTTTTCTAACTGAGTTGTCCTACATGCAAGTACATGTTTTTAATGTTGTCTGTCTTCTGTGCTGTTCCTGTAAGTTTGCTATTAAAATACATTAAACTAAAAAAAAAAAAAAAAAACTTGATGTCACTGATACTGAGCATTATGCTTCAGAAGGTTTGGTCATTAACATCAGAAACTATTTAAAAGACTGAAATAAGAACATATGGTTTAAATATGAACTACAGTTCTAGTAGAGTAACTAAAGTTACTGAGTAAAAGCTATTTTACTACTAGCTTTCCATGAGCCTGGAGTAGTGGTTAGAAAAAGTAGTGATGACTTTAATTAAATGCATTAAATGTCAAGACAAAAGTATTTTTAATATTGCCATGATAGGAAAAATATGGGTTACTCTGTGCATAAATTCTTATTTAGGAGTAAAAAAAAGTCTTTCTAAAGACCCAACACAGTTACAGGTACATAATGGGTGCTTAATATATATTTCTCTAATTTTTTGAATGAAATAGTTAATATAAATTGAAACTTGGGGGATTTTTTTCAGTTAGATATGATTTTAAAAATCTGAAATTAAAGATTACTTAGATTGTCTAAGGAAAATTAGATAAAAAAGAAAATATAAATTTAGAATAATGGTATTGGGAAAACAGTCCCAGGTAATTAAATAAAAAATAGATATCTTTAAATATATGATTAGATCATCCTTTCCCCTCTCCAGACATTCACTGATAAACAGGGGAGGATTTCATGTTATGAAATAATAAAAACAACTGATAGACATTTTGGAAAATGTTCTATCTCTATGTTCTTTGATGTTCTATTAATGTCAGAACAAGAAAATGCAAATTAAGCCAACGATGAGATGCCATTTTAAGCTCATTTTAAAATAAATGGCCCAAATGATAGTAATGAAAAGAGGCCATTCTTTTGGAATGGACCTTAGATTTTTAAGAATCTTTTTTCATTCCCTTCCCCTAGATCTCTTCTTCTAAGCAGTAGCTAAGTGCAATTCATTGTTTTCTAAAGTTTCTCTCCAAACTCTATTCCTCTCTACTGCCCACAGCAAATACTACAGCTTAGTTTGACATTATAACTACCTAAATTCCACAATTACTTTCTATTTTGTCCTGCAGCCTCCAGTCTTACTTCCCTTGATATATTCTCCTCCTTCCGCCACAAAGCAAATTTGCTCATGGTGTTCCTCTGATACTGGAATAGCATCTCTTTTTTTCTTAATTAAAATCAAACTGATCAATATGTTTTTGAGATACTTCATTTACTTTTGTGTTCCTGTTCAATTACTTATCCAACTTCATTTTCCCTGTTCAACACCATCTCCCATTCTGTAATTCCCAAATCTAAGTTCTAGGCAGCTCTACATCCATTCCCCATGTTCTCACTTACTTCTTGACCTCAGCTCAGATTTCTTTTTCCAAAACATGTTTCCTTTAACCTGATGACCTCTAGGCATCCTAGACATAGAATCAGTTTTGATATCAATCACTTACCCATCATTACAACTAGTTTCTTTCCAGTAAACTCCTAAGGAGTTTTACCCTATTACTGCAACATTTATTTGGCTTCATTTAACCCAATTCAAATAAGGAATTTAAAACTGCATTAAAGCTTACTTGTCTTAAGTCCATTTAAAAAATGATTCAAAAACTCTCTTTACAGTTTTTATTATTTTTGTTTTCCTTTAATGATTTCTCTACAAATTTAATTCTATCTGTACAATTTAAGTTACCATCTCTACTCTATTTATTGCCTTCTTAGGATTTTTCTTTAATTGAAGACATACTTTTTTGAAATTTAAATCATTTCTTCTAGTGTGTAAGCAATTTTATCAGGTCATACCTTAAAAATGTCAAATGTTTATATTTTTTACCATATAATATTTACAACAGAAACATCTTAGTAACAAAAGCTTTGTGTCCTTTTCAATGGTACATGTTGAAAAGACACATTTCATGAACATCAACCTTTTTTCCTAAATATACTGAAAAGATCAAGAACATAATGACATTATATTTTACTGGAATTTACAGAAATAGTATGACATAATATAACAATGTAAAATTTGATCTAGCTTATTATTTTCCCATTGGATAATATCATCACTAGTTTTGCCCTACTATTATTCAGAATAACCATTCATGATAAGTATCCACAAAAAACACTTCAGTGGAAGACTATCCATATCTAATTGAGCATACATAATTTTCTCCCCCTCTTTATTTAGCACAAAAGATTTAATTTAAAGGAGAATGAAATATGTACTTTGTCCACTAAATACATCAAACTCATATTCTGAGGAACATGAGCTTTTAAAGAACATAAAGTTTCTTCTGAAATGTTCTATAAGCAATACTAAAAGTTAGATTTTCTCCAGAGAGACACTTATAATGTACTTTCATTGAGAGGAATTTTAAATACTGAAAAAAAAAAGTTTAAATAAAAAATAAAGGGAGATGCATAAGATTCCATTCAGATTTAAAATGTTAGGTATCACATAGTAAACTTCTGGTGTAGGATCCACTAGGAAACATAGTTGTTGGGGATGAAGAAAGGGGTGTTTAAGATTATCTCCATTTCATAAATGAAGCAATAGAATCTTAGAGGGCTTCCATCACCTTAGACTTAGCTAAGTATAGAAGCAATATTCAAAACTATATTTGTCTAGTTCTATAGCTTGTAATTTGAAACAACACATACTTCCCGCCACTGACTGTACATGTAGCAATTTTACTGTAATAATTGATTTAAAAATCTTATGCATCATATTTTATAACTATATTATTATATTACTAAGAGATATTAAATGGTTAGCTAATAACTTCATGTAACATTTAATACATCAGAATGACTAACAGGAATTCAAAATAAATAATCAAAAATCTTTATAGCACTTCATAGTCTAACCAGTGTGTCAGGACACAATGCTGGGTCATAGGCAGAGGATGAACAAGGAAACAGTCCTGGAAGCATGCTACTGCCTAGGATTTACCTTTTGTTTCTGCATGATAGAGCAATGTAGAGATCTGGAATTGGAAAGACCAGTTTAGCAGGAGGGGCACTCAGGGGATTTGGGAAACAGACTACCAACTGGAGTAGAAGAATATTAATATTTTAGTAAACCATGTACCCATACAAAAAGCATGTTGGCTCTTTATCAGCCGGGTTATAGGTGTGCTAAGATATTGATCCTCTCAGCCATTGGTGTGGCCAAGTACAGCCTGGGTAGCCAGTTGCTTCATTTACCTTCAAACCCATCTGTGGTGGGTATGTGGAGAAGAGGAGTAGTATCTCCACACAGGTAGCCTAGGTCAAGTTACTTCACTGAGCCACAGGAACATTTTTCTATGTCTCTCCTAATGTCATAATCTGTAAAGAACCTTTCTAAGTCAAAGTTGAGATGGGTCACCCACTATTTTATACAATCATTACTTTTTAGTTAAATGAAGTAATATGCTTTATTATACTTACCTGTGTTTGTAGTATCTTTGTTACTGCTGTTATTAACCAGAATACAGGCAATTGAGGCAAGAAACTTAGGTTCTAAGTTTGGTTTCCATAAGATACTATGTGAATATAGAATATAATTTTAATTTCTTTAAAGTTACATGTTGCCTAGAGGCACCTGGCTGGTTAGGTTGGTTGAGCAACCCATTCTTGGTTTAGGTTCAGGTCCTGATCTTGGAGTGGAGAGACTGAACTCTGAGGCAGGCTCTGCCTCAGTGGGAGTCTGCCAGAGGTTCTCCCCCTCCCTCTACCGACCCTGCCCCCTCATGCACACACTCTCTCTCTCTGTCTCAAATAAATAAATAAATGTTTAAAAAAAAAAAGCTACATATTGCCTCATCAGAAAGAATGAGGTTATAAGGGATTTTTTATCCAAGTAACAATTATGTGTGCTTTTGTTAATCTTTATACCTGAAATCAGACTTACACATTTGGAAAACAGGGCTAATTATAAAAGAAGAATTTGAAGCAAGTTTTGAAAATCTTAAAATCTCTTCAGGTGAGGTGGGCTGTTATTTGAGAAACAGATTAATCAAGGAATCCAGGTGCTGGAGTCAAGCATATCTCAGGTTTGTATTTAAGGTTTTTTTGTTTTTTTTGTTTTTGTTTTTGTTTTTTCTAAAGATTAATTAATTATTTATTTAAGAGAGAGACAGAGATAGCCGAGAGAGAACATGAGTGGGAGGGAGGGACAGAGGGAGAAGCACACTCCCAGCTGATCAGAGACTCCACGATGAGGGTGGAGGGGTCTTGATCCCAGGACTCTGGGATCATGACCTGAGCCAAAAGCAGACTGTTAACCCACGGAGCCACCAAGATGCCCCAATTTTAAGTTTTAACATGTTCCCAGAGCAAATCATTTTATCTATCTAAGCTTCAATTTCCTTAGAAATGAATTGGATGAAAACAGTTCATAGGGGCCATTGGCCATTGACTGAGCAAACCACCGTGGCCTCTTCTGGCACAGTACTGCAAGACAACCTGTTTCATGCTCCCCAGCAAGGCAGCTCCATTATCTGTGGCCCAGAGTTGGGAAGCCAGGCAGGTCATCAGGACTGCACAAACCGCAAGAATGCCAGCTGGGACAGCCTCTGTTAGCCTGTGAGGTTGGTGGTGTGAGTGTCATAGGCCAGCCCTTGCACCCGCTCCCATAATGCAGTGCATGGTGCGTCATTGAGGAAAGAAAATTATGGCTGCAGCATAGCTCTAAAATTCACTTCTCAGCAGGAGAACGCATCCACTGTTCTGATGGCCCGACCTTTCTGGGTCAGTAATGGACAATGTCAGGGTACACAGCACATATTCCTGTCGTTTAGGAAATCAGAGTCTAGATTAACAGTTTGCAAGCGTATTTTCGTACTTCATGCTTTGGGAGT